ATCTATGCATAATTATAATAAAGACAGCTAATCAAGTCCACCCTGGCAATATCTAAGCGTTACAAGATTTTTAACTGGCACAGCAAGCCTGGTTAGCTGTCTAGCTCTACAATATACATGTACCTTCCACATACTCCGAGTACTGTTTCTTTCCTAGAGCTTCAAGATTAAAAATAGCCTCAGCCACAGCATCATCTGAACAATCTCTGCTATCCAAAGTGACAAGTTCGGCAAAATGATCTAAAAAGGGATTCCCTAAGCGYCTAATGACCAGAACTAAGTTGTTGACTTGAGCCTTGAATGCCTTCTGTAAGCTTAATCCAGTTTCGTGGTTTGCTGATTTACAGGAATCGCTTTCACACTCAGAGTCGTACAGATACTGGTCGTCAAACTGATGTAGCAGTCTTGCCATCTCTGGACCTGAGAGCATCCATCTTCTGCAAAAAAATGATGTGGAAATTCCTTTATTTATGCTAAAGCAATTGCTCGCAAGCTGAAACCATAAAATTCATCAMACAAACAACTTTAAACACTGGCAATTGATATAAAACTCAATCTATACATTAAACAAAATAAATATACACTACACACACCGGTAAAGAAAACATGTAGTGGATAGACAATACGTACCTAAAAGCAATAGGATTCTCTGTCAAACCARCTGCGCCACCTGCACTTTTTACGGTCTTATTCTCTTGCTCGTGGGCCTGGTCGAAAGGTATTGCTGAAAATGCGTTTGTGGTCTTTGACAAGACCCAGGATCCTTCTTGTTGAAACTTCTGAACAATACTGTCTGGCAAACTTTTCATATCACGGATATGGATGGGTGTCCATCGAGCATAGTTTACGTGATCCAGCGAAAAGAAAAAAAAGAGGCACCAACTCTTCCAAGGTTTCCACGTAGAGATTGAAGTTAMGTTCTCGGTGTGCGCGAACCATCATCAAGATAAGAATCTCGTAGCGTAGAATCAGATCCCAGAAAAAGAATGTCGGACTTTTCATTCTTGTCTCTTCCCATTCATGTAGTGTCAACTCATCTGTACACAAGGAAAATGCCTCCATTCTTAACTTATGAAGGGCCAAAGCTGTCACCTGATGTGCATGTCTAGTAATGAACAAAAGTGTTTTAAATATATAYTACTCAACATGTTAAATAATTAAATAGAAATTATTACCTTGTTCTTTTAAGATGCGAAGCCTTTAGAAACGAGTCGGCAACACCAGACGAAGCTACCTCAGCCTCTGTTAAAGCAGAAGTCCACCCGGATCCSTTTWGTAGATCTCCCAGAACACTCCAAAGCGTCATCTCGATATGGAGTCCACCYATCATGACAACATAGATGTTTTCGCCATGTGTGTTAGGCCWTCYCCACTGAACCATTTTTGCTARCGCAAACAAGGGTTGATCAACAGTCATGACTGGGACTTGACCTGGATTTAAAAATCTTACAGCCTTCTCTATAACACACATTCCATGTTTTACCATTGCTGGCGTGGCAGCTTTTTCATAGAATAGAGGAAGTAGGGMTGTTGAGGCTGGAAGGTGATCGTCTGACTGCATCTTTTTAGCATGATATGCTGCCCAAGTAATAGTATCCTCTGCGGTAACAGATTCTTTGTCTAGCTCGCCAACTGAATGCATGGCCCATTCCTTCTCTTTCTTCTTTTCCTCTTGAATAACACTTCTTGGCTCTTGCAAATAGCACTCTGGAACTACTGTTTTGCTAGCATCTAACT